TTTCAATTCCCGCAACGATGCGGGGGTGGGCTTCCGTACCACACACTCAACCAATCACAGACTGCCCGGCCCCGAAGGTGGAGCCTGGTCTCGGCATCAATTGTGTGGGGTACTAAGTCATACTCGACATACATATTGAGAAGCCACGACTCGACAACATGGCTTCACCCCTTTGTCCACGACCCGTCTATCTCTCACTTTGCTACAGTAGCCTGCGTTCAACAAGTTGCCCATCATGCAATTCCTCAAGTCCATCAAAGGCCGAACTCTCTATCGGATTATGAGCATATGTTGTTCTCTGTCCTTCTGCATGTACGGCTATGACGCTGGGGTCCTCGGAGGCGTCCAAACCACAAAACCTTTCCTCGACGCCATGGGCCATCCCACCGGTACATATGTCATCCCCATGATTGCTTCTTCATACACCCTGGCGGCCGCCGTCTGCTCCTTGGCAGTTACCGTACTGGGTATGCCTTTGGGACGACGAGGCTGTATCTTGATGGGCGATGCCCTTGTCATTGTCGGAGCCAGTATCCAAGCCTCTTCCTGGTCGGTCGCCCAGATCATCGTCGGCCGCGTCCTCTGTGGGTTCGGCATCGGTTTCATCTCCTGCAGTGTCCCAACGTACATGGCCGAGATGAGTATCACTTCGAAAGAACGAGGACCAGAGGTCGCCATCCAATGCATCTGGCTGATCAGTGGCGTCGCCCTAGCATATTGGGTAGATTTTGGCATGACACGCTTGACAAACCAAGTCTCATGGCGGTTTCCCATCGCCTTCCAAGCCTTCTTTGCAACTGTGTCCATCATCGGCATGTTCTTCTTACCCGACACGCCTAGATGGTATTACGCCAAAGGCCGCGTCGCGGAAGGCGACAGCATCGTGATGCGGCTCCATGATCGCCCGCTCGAAGACCCCGCCGTCCAAGCCATGCGGGAGGAAATCCTGGCCTCGATCAAACTTGAAGAAGAAGACGAGCATAGATTCAACCCCTTGGATCTATTCTGGGACAGGAGTGATCTAAGAGCTGGTCGCCGGATCAGGATTTCCTTCATGATCCTCTCCATTCAGCAGATGATGGGTCCGTATCTTGCCCGCCTGAACGGCGGATTTCTTGCTGACGTATGTGACAGGTATCAACCTGTCTGTCTACTACTCCACAGTCATCTTCTCACAAGTCGGCCTGTCACCATTCCTCTCTCAGCTCCTCGCGGCGGTAATGAACACCGGCTTTGCCCTAGGAACGTATCCTTTACCCTGGACGATCGAACGAGTCGGTCGCCGTGGCGTCTTGATTTGGTCAGCGGTCATCTTGACAATCTGCATGCTCGTGTTTGTAATTATGATCGGTTTGCCGCATCCGACACTGGCGACGCAGTGGACCGCCGTGGCTTTTGTGATCATTTACAATTTCGTGTTTGGATATGGCTGGATTGGTGTCCCTTGGTTGTACGGACCTGAGGTGAGTCTCACACGTCATGTGAAGTGCACCGCTAAGAGCTGTTCCCCCCTTGTCTGAATTCTCGAATGAGGAGTGTCAAGCAAAGTTCACACTGACCTGGAGGATTTTGCACAGATCGCACCGCTCAAACTTCGCCACCTCGGCGGCGCGGCTGGGGCATTCGGAGAGTGGCTATTCAGCTTCATCACCGTCTTCGCCGGAGGCATCGCACTGCAGAATGTTGGATGGAAAATCTGGATCTGGATGCTCCTATCCTGCGCCGTAGCCGTGCCGTTTGTGTACTTTATGTGTCCCGAGGTATGTCCTCCTCCACCACTGCACAAAACGCTCCTCGGAAGTCATGAATATTCTTCTTTTGCCCCTCCCTCCTTTCCCTTTTTTTTGCATTCACTTTTTCTCTATCGAACCGCGCGAACTGCGGACTCCAAGCAAGGCCCTATTCTAACTGATTCGCCCCTTCTTGGGGTCGCACTCTACAGACCACAGGCAAAACCCTCGAAGAAATCGATCTGATCTTCGCGAAACCCGAGATTCGAGACTCGGCCCTTGCGGCGCGCATGGTCCACGACCGTCACGCGGAAACCGTTCTGAGGAAGGAGCACGCGATTCAGTTCGAGGAGAAGGAGGATGTTTGAACTGAGTCCCTTGATTTCCCATTCCGTGCGCCCATCCATCCATACATCCATGCACGACTCGTCAAGGGAAGTAAGGAATTCAGTAAACAAGCAATTCAGTGGCTTTAATAGGAAAGTAAGAGATTCAAGGGGCGGAATCGAAAGCCCTTCCGTATTATATTTGTCCGGTGTCAAGCTCGAACAACAGGCTCACGAAGGAAGAGAATGGTTTTCTCCCCCAACGACTTCATTTTTGATAGAGGATATGGTTTGAGTAGACTTTTTTCTTTCCCGTCCGGCCGGGAAGGAGCACAACGGAATAGAAGCAAAAGTAAAAGTCATAGTCATAGTCACATCAAAGTCACATCAAGCAATTGAAAAACAAAACAAAAAAACAAAGTAGCCAAAGATGGCTCAAAAAGGACGAAGCGGTCGTCGTCTCATCGAACGCAGCTAGCACCGTAGGTGGAGGACAGAGTATCCTCTCTTTCCAAGATAGAACGGAACCGCTCATTGCCAGCGAAGGCCACCCCCGTGCTAACAGCGAAGGGGGCTTTGGGTTATGCCGCAGTTTCCAGCCCCTGTATATATGCCCGAGTGGTTTTCTCGCAGGAGAGATCCATCCCCAATGAGACCGCCGCAAGTGTAAGTCGACAAATTCTCCAGAGTCCAATCTTGTATAAAGCATGATGGGGCTAGTGGAATTTTGTCTTGGTCTTTTGGCCGGTTGATCTCTAGCCATTTCGTTGTTGTTTTTTTAATTCGTTTCTCATATTCCCTTCTGGCGGCCGAGCAAGTATGTCGCCAACACCCCTCTCGGAGTGCTCTGAGGCACTGGGGATCCTATACATAGTGCACCGGTTTTTTGTCCAAAATTCATTCTTTGCTGGCTCATCCTGAATGTGGCTGCTCTCGAGGTGGTCATACATACTCGACCTTGATGTTGTAGCAGTTGATTAATGGCTCCGTCAACCACCCCTGGGTGGAGAATGTCCCCATCTCTATTGTATCGGGCAGCACAAACTTTCGTGCCAGCTGCAAAGTGATCTCTTGAAGTTTTCTGTCGAGCCCACGGCTATGTATGCAGGGCGGGCTTCGAGCTTGGTCTGGCTTGTCTATTTCAAGGTCAGAGGGCCCTCTCAATAAGTAGCGTAGATGTATCAGCACTCGGTAGCCGAGCCGCCGCTCTCCCTCGGACTCGGAGGCGTCTTCAGAGGTGGCTTCAGCCAAATCAGCCGAGGCTATTTGTGAGGCAGGAGAGCGATTGAAGCTGAAGCAGTGGTATGTATATATAAAAGAAGAGGAGACGTAAAGCACACAGAGCAGAGTTAGGACGAGTAACTAGGTCTCCGACTAATGGCGTATTAGTTCCAACTCTGTTCTGTGTGCTTGTCTATAAAAGGACAAAGGTCAACAAGCACAACCGGGTTTAAATACCTCGAGGTATCACGCAGCCGCGAGACTGCCCGTGTCACCACCAGCCAGTGTCACCACACGTATCACTGCCCTTATCACCAGGTCGTGAATCTAACTAGCAGAACATGAAGTGCGATTGTGTGCGAATGCGAGCTTCAAATCCTTGGCGAGGGAGTGAAGGACGCACAGCAGTAGCAGAGGCAAATATCACTGAGGTGAATCTAAAGAGAGTCCAAAGTCGACAAAACACTGCTTGCGCGGCTGGTCCAGGATGGCGGGCAGTCTCGAACCGGACAATCGCGCCCGTTGACATCGCAGCGAGTACCATCAATGGCGACGAGATTGGTATTGTAACAAGGCAAAGTGGCTGTGCTGTGCTGTGCTGTGCTGTGCTGGGCTGGGCTGGGCTGGTCTGGGCTGGTAGAGTGGTAGCAAAAAGGGGGGAGAAGTTGTCTAGTCACATGTCAAACCAAAATGGGCTGGCAGAGTGCCATTCATTACAGTTTGGGCAGAGTATCATGAATTCCAAGGCCTTTTGGTGCGTTCTACCTAGTTCCTGAGTGTTTGACCAATCCTGTCCTGTTTCTCGATGCTGCCGCTGTGCTAGGTGCTTGTAGCCCTAGCCGCTGCTCCTCTGGGTGGTGTTGGTGGTGTTGTCTTGTCATTGCCAACCAGAAACGCGTTCTCGATTCCCGACCTGCTGGACAGGCCTCTGTGCGTTGTTGCACGTGCACGCCGAACCCTGAAGTGCTCTGTTACAGTATAAACGCGACGGCGATAAAATGGGATCCGCAGCCGGGCTAATTGCTGTTCGACCCGTGTCTTCCTCCATATTATCGGTGTGTTTAGTTCTGTCGTTGGTCGTTCATGTTCTCTCATTCGTGGTTTACATATCAACGTTTATTATTTACATCCTATAAGCTCACGATTATTTATAGAGCTGTCCTTCCTACCGTGATCATGTTTACTGACGACAATCCGCGCCAAAGTCCTTCACGATGCTACGAGAGTGATGGAAGAGTTAAGAGGCCATGGCGATTGTGGAGAACGAGCCTGATGACCCGCAGGTGTGGCAATTGAGGAAGGTGGTGCAGTCCTAAGAGGAGAACTTCTTCAGTGTCTCTGATGGCGACTCAGACTCTGGCAACGAGGGAGGGGGAGAGGGAGAGGCACAGACTACAATTGTGCAGAGCCAAAGGTGATGCCGAGCAAGACAAGCTTCCGACGTCAACCTAAACCACTCCCATGGAATAGAGCGTAGAGGTGACGAGAGACACGAGGTGAGTGTGCGTTAGCATCTTGATATTAGAGGCCAAGTTATGGCTGCGGGAAACAGTCCAAGCCGCTGGGAACATGGCCGACAAATTAACCCTTGATCGGCTTGATATTGTCGACCAACGGCCAAATTGAAACTTTTTCCAGAACCCGGATCTTACAGCGGAGGACTTTGAGTGTTCCACTTATTGTTCAATTGGGCTCGTGAGATAATGACGGCGATGCGAGAGCGTCACCAGGACGCAGTCACCTCCGCCTGCGACGCAACGACGCGATCGAACCAGGTCGACCCGTGCGGCCGCGCCCAGTCCGACAGAAAGAAGGTGCGAAAGACTCGTCGATACGCTGGCCACCGGCAGTAAGAGGGCAAAGACCCCGGTGGGAGAGGAGCGGGGTCGGCTGCTCTGCTGCCGCTGCTGCTTCTCTCGAGTGATTGCTCTTGTTGTTGTTGTTGTTGTCGTCGTCGTCGTTGTAGGACGTGCTCGGCAAGACGGTGCTGGAACCACTGGACCTGGGCTTCCCTGTTGCGGTCGACGGCGGCGGTGGACACGCGCCAGTCTCTCAATGAAGAGGACGGTGGTCGCATTTTGCGGCGCTCTTCGAATGCACCGAGATAGTAAAGCCACGCGTGGGCGTCGCTGTACAGTCGCATCTCGTGCTTGGTCGCCACCGAGGAGATGAGTTCCATGACCGACCGCAGATGGCGCATGATGCCCGGGGATGCATCGCGGATGTCCCGCCCACTGATCTTCGCCTCGTGTCCTATCGCGCGGACATAGTAAAGAAGGCCCAGCGCCAGGCCGGCTTGGGTCAGACGCTCGCCTGAGGAAGGTGTCGCAAGTCCTTCACCGCCACCAGATGGCCCTCGCCGCCACGGTGGATGGATGTTCTCGCGGAGGTCAAAATATATCTGGAGGACTTTGGACATAAGGTATTCGCTCTGCGTGACGAACCAGGCAAAGGCCAGCTGCTTTTGTTCTGGCGGACCCCAAGCCTCGTCCGACACTTGCATGCCATCCTCGCAGAACGCCGCTTGATGACGTGAGGATATGAAGAGGCGTCGCAGCTCCGGGATCTCAATGGCTGGGTTGATATTGGCAAAGGCTGTCTCGGGTATTGGAGGCAGAATTTGCTCGGCTAGGGCCCAGATTGGTTCGACAGTGAGCCGATACCAGTTAGGATCAAAGTGAGTCCGCCGCATTGTTTTCGAAGCGTCGTCACAGTCGTCGTTGAGAGCCTGGATGATCATCAGGTGATCTACAATGCCGTCATTAAAACCTTGCATCATGCTCCCCGCCAGGACCTTGCCGTGGACCGCCACAGATGGGCTGTTGTCGGAATACACGGCCGCGCGGAATAACCAGAAGACATGGGTAATCAGCCCTTGATCCTGAAGAAGTATGCTCTTACCCCCTCCAGTGCTGGGTGTGTTCTCCAGCGACTTCCGGAGGAGCTCTGAACTCTTGGTCGTGAGAATCAGGGCTTGCCGGCTCATTTTGAGCCGTCCATTCTCGGGCAGCAGCGTGGCCATGTTGTGAAGAAAGCTCGCGATGCAGGCCAAGGCCTGACCCTCCGAGTTGAGGCTCCCAGCGGCAAAGCCCCAGCCTCGTCTCGCCGTCTGCGCCGGTAACCAACTGCTATCATGCAGCACGTTAATGGGACCATTAGAGTCCCCATACAGCCGGCGGAAGAAAGGGTTGAAGTAGAGGTTTGGATACAGCGCCTCGCGCATAAACGCCAAAACCTGGTTCACAAGCGGTGTGACGACCACTGACAATGTGGCGAATGGGTCGGAGTTGCCTTTCAACACAACTATTGGCGGCGTTGGGCGTCTCTCTTCGTCCGACGAAGAGTCGTACGTCGACTCTGATTTGAAGTTGGATCTAGAGTTCGAGCTGACATTGGAACCAAAACTAGGGCTGCTTGTGTGACGCCGCGGCGGTAAATGCATCCTGTACATAGCTTGGGTTCGTGGTGCGGAACGATGAATGGCAGAGGAGCCACTAGCGGCTCGACTTTTCCCGAGATGACCAACTCGAGCAGCATGTGATCGTCGCTCCTTTTCACTGATCCCATGATCCTGAGGCGACGGGCCTTGCCTGATGGGAAAAATGAACTTGACAGTCCCGTCGGTCATGATGAGTCCGTAAGTCCTTCGCAATCAACGACGCAGATTCGCGTAGAATCTGGGTCCGAGGCTTCGGTCCCAGTGTTGATAGCCAACCTGCCGACGTCAAGTTGATTCCAGTCTCGCATTAGGAACACGGATGCGTTGTTGTCCTTGGCGGGAGCCGTGAAGTTTGGGACGTTGACATCATCGAACAATCCGGGTTCCGTGGAAAGCTAGCAGCTGTAATTTGATATTCAAAGGCAAGAGTTCGCGGGCGGGGCATAGATGTTTTATAGGTTTTTGAGAGGGTTCGATTCGTATTGCCGCTGGATTTGACTCAAGAAAAGAGTGGATGGGAATCTCTCCCGTGGCGCCGAGCAGCTTGTTGGCTTTGATCGCAAGCAGCTAAACGAGTGGGAGAGCGAAGTAACCCGACCACGCCCAAGACGACAGTTTCCCAAGTGGGCCGTCCATGAGTACTGAGTGATAGCTAGTGGTGTGGCCGGAGTCAAGGTTTTTCTCGTGTAGGGAGGCGCCTTCAAAAGGGGTGATGATCTCGGACTGTGCCAATGCAGCCGTTTATTAGTAGACGTTAAGCAACGGTGACAAAGAGCGGAGGTAAGGAGCAGCTGTACCAGGGCAGCCTGTTGTTGGTGAACGGGCAGTTCAGCCCACGCTCCCAAGACTTCGCGAGGCCCTTTAGCGAGAGTGCCAAGGCTGTCTCTTGGCAGCGGAATAGTCGGCCACGCCCCGAATTGGAAAATGGCACCTCCTGGTTTGGGCTGGTAGGCTGGGCGGAGACACCAACCAGCCGAAAAGCTGTTGGGTGTTGTCGGACCAGTAGGATGATTTGTGACCGTTGCCTTTACGAGGAAAAAGGTCGTCCTAGACAACTGCCAAGGAAAGCATTCACATAGAGTCCCGAGTATGCCACATCTTCCCGCCTCTTCTCTTGTGATGAATCAGTCTCTTCTCTAGCATTCGTGCGTCGATCGTCGGCGAGAGCAGTCCGTAACCGAAAGAGCGGAACCAGGCGCAAAAGGGTCTTCAGCCAAGCAGTGAAAGGATCATAGATTGATGGATGGGTAATACCCTGACAATGTTTCATCCGCCTCGTATATACGTAGATATCTACCCTGACCCCTTCGCCGAAACATAACGTGATATGACCCATGTGAGATATGGCCGTTGGACTTTTCTGATCGAAGTCACTCCATCTAGGATGGTGGCATCGGTGCGCCATTGCCCGCATACCAGCCATCTTTGGAACTCGCAGAGTTAGTATCCCGACAACCAGAATATTTAAAAGAGGCTTGTCTACCCCAATCACAGGTTTCAGCAGAGAGAAAACTTACGTGTGCGATTTGCTACGTCTTGGACGTACTTCGGTGTGCCATCACTATTAGGATCGCTAAGATCACCGCTCTCTGCGATGTGACCGGAATTGTATACCCGCAGCGCCTCATAGAAGTTTCCTTTTTGCTGATCTAAGCATTGTTTGAAATGGGTGGCGCCTGCCTGAACCATGCTGTCGATGTCGGACTGTTGTGGATTTGCGCTCTAAAGAAGATCATGCCCTCGGTTAGCACAATGCCCAAGTGAGTGTGAGACAGATTGGCATTCCGTCATCAGTATAACATACCGCCGATGCACTCAAACCCTCGCACCCAGAACACTGCATAAGACCACCGGTCCCAGCTCCGTCGGGGTCGACTGTTGTCTATCGTTGTTCTTGTCAGATCCACACCAAGAGACTTAACCACCATGATTAACCGGGAAGAACCTGCCTGGACGAAGCAATTCCCTGTACTTTCTTGCATGATGATGCACAGAAGTTGATAATCTTGCACGCCGCTTGAAGCGCTGACCGTCTGAATTGCCGTTTTAACCTGAAACAAAGTCAACACGGCCTGAAACACACGTATTCGGGCCATCCTTTTTGGCAACTGCTCCTGGATGTGATCCGACAGAGATTGTACTCACCATGCCAGCATAGTCAGCGCTACCGTGTCCAGCATTAGCCTTCTGTATGATGGGCTGAAACGTATTCCATAGATCATTAAAAGAACAGATATGGTCATCAAAATGAGCAAATGACGACGCAGGCCCGCTCTGGGGGTAATAGTGCGGATCGATGGGAGCGTTGTGGCCAGTAGTGCCGCCACCTGGAGTGCCGTTGCCTGTGGCGCCATTGCCTGTGGGGACTTTATTTACAGTGTGGTTAGGGGGCAGGAGGCTGGATATAGGACCGGTAGGATGGATGGCTATAGTGTGGTTGGGTAAAACATTGTTGCCTGTGGTGCTTCTGGCTAGAGTGTCATTGGCTACAGCACGGTTGACCGTAGTATTATTGCCCGTAGTGCCGTTGTCTGCAGTGCCGTGGTGACCGGTACCATCGTCAACGTAGGTCCCGTCAGCATAGTGGTCATCAGGATAGTGGTCGTCAGTATAGTCGTTATTAGCATAGTGGTTGTTGGCATCATTGTTGTCAAGGTAGTCCTCGCCAGCATAGTCCTCGTCAGCATGGTGCTCGTCGGCATAATCTTCGTCGGCATAATTCTCGTCGGCGTAGTCCTCATCACCATAGTCCTCGTTGGCGTAGTCGTCAACGTTATTGCTAGCCATGGTACATCAATGGAGTAGTGGCGTGTTTGAGAAATGCGAAAACGAAGGAATCGGTCTGGAGATGACGTTCCTCTGGTTGACGGGACTATTCAGGGAGTCTTGCCCTCATATAAGATCGAGCTTTATCCATTCCTGGTATATATCAGAAGAAACTGACACTATCAGGAACTCTGAAGAGATGCCAATAACCGAGGACGTAAGTATCGGCCCCAGTAATATGTATATACCAGATAATATATTTGGCCCAGGCGAGCTCCCTAGAGCGGCGAAAGCCCCTTTCCGCGTGAGACTGAGAGATCTGTCGAGCATGCGTAAGCCGGCAGACGAGCGCTCGTAAGCTAAATTCAGTCATTGGCGTCATTGCTGGGGCTAGTGCTTGCCGCCACAATCCTGACAGATATATCTGGTACGTGCTGCTCAAGAGTGTCAGTAATCCTCAACGCGCCCTGAGGGTTCGAGTCCCATTGTTGAATGCCTGTCGGCATCTTTTGGCTTGCTGCACTTTATTTTCGGTCTTTCAGCGCTTTATTGTGCCCGATTGACGCATCTCATTGTGTCTTATTGCTGACTGCTGCCTAAGTGCCCTCAGCATCATACGAGTTGGGGACCTTCGTTGGTAAACATGGCAAGATGAATACCCGAACAGTGTAAGACCTTGATGAAGCGATACATAAATTTAAAGATTTAAGGTTGGCTTGGCAAAGGGCTGAGGGCTTGTTCGTAGCGGCTTTGAATGGCCTGCAGGCCATGCAGCCCCAACCGCAGTCCCATTTCAATGCTTACTCTTGCTGTGTTTATAGACCAAGTCGGTTTTCTGCGTACCTCGTAGATACTTGTGGCTCGCCGAACATGTTTTCGAATGAGTCTGCACGGTCCTCAATCAGTGACCGAAAACACTCCCTGATGGACAGCGGATATTACTCCGTATATGTAGCGAAGTACGGTCTTTAGAGGGGAATGTTGGCCGAGTCATCGGTCCGTGGACACTCCCATGTCATATGATAATCTCTTCTCCTGCTTGTAGCCCTTATTCCTGTCATCATAAATACCCAACTCACTGCGTGACATCTTTGTCCTACATTAACCAGACCGCTGGTGCTTATGTCATGTTCACATAACATCATTGACATCCTCGAGATTGTACTTGCCCATTTTCCTGGGTGGAACTCTGTGCTGGAACAAATAGTCAATCTCCTGGAATGTGCGACCTTTCAGCTCAGGCACATAGAAGTAACTCCAGATGGTGCCTAAGAGACACGCTCCGCCAAAGACAAAGCCTACTTTACCCTTCAGATTAGCCTTGTCTGGGTTGACCATGTAAGGAACCACAATGTTCATCACTGTGCCGAACACAGCCTGGCATGCAGTGGCCAGACCAACCGTCTTGGCTCGGAGGGAGGGGGTGGAGACTTCACCGAGCAAAGCAAACGCAATGCATCCGATCGTGATCTGATAGATGAGTGCATAGACGACCGTGCAAGAGGCTTGGACCCAGCGGGCAGCTGAGGTGTGAACAACGTCAAGAATTCCCATCAGGACCAGCACAATGGTCATACCGATCATGCCCCAGACGAACAATTTTCTCCGACCAAGTGTGTTGATGGCGGCCCAAGAGATCATGACGCCAACTACACCGCATGCTGTGACTCCCACACCGAGGTCGAAAGCGTCCTTGGTCTGAATACCGGCAAGCTCGAAAAAGTAGGTTGAGAAACCCAATACGAAGACGATACCCGAGAGATGTTGGCAGGCAAAGGCGCCAACCGAAATGGTGGTTCGTACGAGGTTGGTGCCACGGAAGCACTGGTCCCATCTGGCAGACTTGGACAGTTCTGCGTCCTCCTCGACGGTCCTGATGATCATGGCCAATTTCGGGGATACGTCAACGTCCTCGCCATGCAGACGCTCTAGAGATCGTCGAGCGTCGTCCATACGGCCCCGGCGCACATAATGCCATGGCGATTCGGGCGCGAATGGGAGTCCGACAAGAAGAATGGCTGGTTAGATTCGTCAGATGTTGATAATCCTCGGAATGTGTGGATAGGGGTAGTCTTACCAACAAACAACCATTGAATGGCAAAGGGGCCTCGAAAAGCCCAGCGGTCGTTCCTGTCACCGAATCCTTTGATAACGGCATTCGAAAGGAGCTGCCCAATGACAATGGCGAAGTTAATGCCACCTGTGATCATACCACGAAGGACGACCGGTGCCACCTCGGAGCAATAGAGAGGGCCGATGGTCAAGTAGAATCCAAGGCCAATTCCAAGAATCAATTTACCAATGAGGAATGCCGGTCGAGTGGTCGAGAAGACCTCGCCAAAAATGCCCCCTGTGACAAAGCCGAGCCCTACGAGGAGAGAATACCGACGGCCGATGCGGTCAGAGATCCACGAGCACATGAAGCCACCAAAGAATTGGCCGACGCTGGAGATGCTGTTAAAGCCGCTCAGCCAGCTGGCGGGGATCACAGGTTGCCCTTTGTAGATGTAGCTACGCAGCACATTAGCCTCTGGATGGGTCGCCACAAAAAGCAGACGACAGAGGGGCTCGCTACAGACTTACCCGAATGTATACCGAAACTGTGGCACTGAGATCATGGCGCCATTGACCTGTGCGTCGAAGCCCCTGGCAAAAGTCGGTCAGGCTTCAGGTGGTGACTTTGGCGCGTGGTTGCTTGAAGCGACGAAGAGACTTACCAGCCAATACAGCTGAAGCCAAAAAAAACACACCAGAAGACGACGGTCCTATTCTTGGAAAGGGCCTCCCAAACCGAAAGACGGTGCTCTTCTTCAGCAGCTGCTCGAGCCTGTTCGACCTTTGGAGCCACATGTTCAATGATTGAGTCGGCCGCTTTGGCTTCGTGGTCGTCGATATGGAATTTCTCCATGTTCGGGGAATTGAATGTTCACCGTAGTGCTAGGATGACGCTGATGGGGAAGGTGAGAGAGGTTGCCACCTTGTCTGAGAAAGCCAGACTTCAATTGTAGAGGGGACGATGGGTTTTTATGTACGTATTGTTTCCTTTGCTATGTGATGATCATGATACATGTTCTGGAAGTCCCATTCAACCCCAGATCCATCCTCGAGGACTCCGTAGAGGTCGGTATCGTGCATTCCGGGATTCCGCAGATTTTCACATGGGGAAATCTTGCTGGGGAGAGGCTGGCAAGAGTTTGGGTAGCATTGAGGAAACGAAGAGACGTCGAGGGAGGGAGGCGACGGACATGGCAGGGTGGTGATGGCTTTTCCCCGCCGTGCCGGGCCATGATCCTTGTGGCACGACCAGCATGACTCGGCGAGTCGTGGAGTCGAATATTGGCTCAGAGCGGTAAAGTGGTGTTGCAATCACACACACCAAGGTCCGGAGTAGTGGTTTGGCGACTGCTTATTGATTGCGCCTTGATCTCAGTTGATAGATCGTATCTCCTCATACGGTGAGGTAAGTTTTTCGGCTGTCAAAACGCGCAGGAAAAGTGCAGCCAAGGGCTTCTAGAAGGACTGGGCCGCCCGCATTTACGAGGCCTCTTGGCTTTTTCAGACTCCCTAATGAAGTGGCTAGTGGGCCCTATCAAAAGGTCGCTAGGCAAGCTAGAGGCCGCTGGTAGTGGTCCCCACCACCCTGGAGCTCCCCCCTCGCTGCCCCTGGTGGGCGTCCAGTAGCCTAACCACTGAGCCATCCCACCCCCCGCAACAAAAATGTGCCTCCAGAGCCTGCTCTTGCTGCTGCTCCTCTCGTCCAGCACTCCGCTGACGGCTTTTTATCACTCCCCGGCATTCCGCTCATCCAACTTCCCATCCTTCTCTCCAGAGTCCAGTATCACTTCCCCAGATCTTCAAACCCCAGTTGTCCCGGTGGAGAAACGGCTCAATCCTCTTATCGGCAATGCAGATGGAAAGCTCGCTCCGCAACATTCTCCATTCCAGCGAGCCAGCTTATGATTCCTCATCTCTTCATACTGGCCATTTGCCGGCGACTGTCCAGCAAAATGGCCCGTTTATCGGCGTAATGGAGGCTGAAAATGTTTTAAACGACTCCCGGAAGCGTCCTGCCACGCGGATAAAGTCCTCATATCCGCGAAAGAGAGCCATTCAAGCCTGTCAGAAGTGCAGAGTCCGACGAACAAAATGCAATAACGCTCGTCCAACCTGTTCCTCCTGCATGTCAATTGGCGCAGAGTGCACGTATAGCGAAGGAGATCATTCTACGTATGTCCTGTGCGGCGGCACATCTTCGGACGTGCTATATGATGACGACCCCCTTCTGACCCTGGCAGCTTTGATTCCGCGAGTCTTGCAATTCTGGACAAGTTGAACACCATCGAGGAACTCTTGAGAGCGCCCAGTGCCCGGACCCAGGTTGTCCCAGCTGCCCCCAGTAATACAGCCGACAGCCCCAGTCGTGGAGTTTTATCCCGGTTAAAATCGCTGAATTCTCCCAGCCTTGAACGATCCAAGGATGCTACCCCCTGTCACATGAACATTGAAGGAGTCTTGTCGTGGTCTGTCTTCGACGATGTTAGTCCCAACCTCGACCTGAAAGCCCTCCTCAACTCTAGTAATGGCGCCACCCAAAACCTGTCAATCGTCACAGAATTCGATGAGCATTTTGCCGAAGAGGAACTTGTGGCAAGGTTCATGAACAATGTCTTCATTTACAATCCGGTCTTGGAGGAAGCCAAGATTCATCGCTACATGCGTGACGCCCGCTTCAACGGCATTGGTTGGGATGCACAGTCGTGCCTACTGGTGAGATGGCGTCTGCTACAGGCACCTGGTCATCGTTGCTAACCGTCCTTGTTGTCGACAGCTCCTGATATATGCTCACGGCTCGATTGTTGGACCGTTTAATGGCGGCCACCAACAAGACGCCTCGTCTTTTCGCTCATCTCCACAGTTTAAGCAGGCCGAGTTATACTTTTCTGCAGCTCAGAAAAGGATGGGCCACCTGCTCTGCAGAACAGGTGTGTTGGAAGCGCAATGTTTCTTTCTGGCAGGAGTATATTTGATGGCAACACTACGTCCAATGGAGGCATGGAAAATGTTTGTCCAGGCCCTCGCCTGCTGCCAAGCATTCTATACCGAGAAAGAGTCCCCAGAAGCCGACAGGGAAGGGGAACAGCGTTTGCGGGAAAGTATCTACTGGACTTGTTTCAAATCAGAACTGTAAGTGGGAAACAATCCTTCCGTCGCACGCTTTCTGGTAGTGCAATGCTGAACCTGAGCCAGCGAACTCCGTCTCGAGCTGAATGTTTCCGAGACTTCGATATGGGATCTCACATATCCTGCCTTCTTTCCCTCTCCTCCCGAGGGTCTCCGATCTCAAAGGGAAATAGTGTGGTATTTTTATCTTGCCGAAATTGCCCTTCGACGGCTGGGAAACAGAATCCTCAACTTCATCTATGACAGCAAAGCCACGAGCTCCATGTCCAACGCAGCCGAGTCTACCGTCGGATTTGAACAACAGGCGGCAGACTGGATTCGATCGCTTCCCCAAGCACTCGACCTCGAAGCGCCCTCGGTGGGGGAGGAGAGTGACTTGCACCATTCGCTCAAGTTCATACTGAAAGGCCACCTCCTCGACTGCTACGAAATGATGTATTGGCCCTTTATCGTCGCGGCGGTAAACTTTGATACCCCTGAAAGGACTCCCACCATCTCGACCGAGTCAATGGACTCGTTTGTGCACAAAGCGCTGGTCGTTTGCGTGGAGCGGATCGAAAAGAATGAACAAGGCTTTTTCTATCGCCATCATGGGACCTGGCTGATGTTACGGTCTTGCACGAGGAGCGCATTTGTCCTTCTCGCTGCTGCCAGACTCGAAAAACTGACGTTACTAATGCCAGATCGCTGGCGAGAGGCTGTGGAAAAGGTAATTGAAATGTTGAGATTCTGGAGACGAGAGAGCAGAGACGTCGAAGACAGATTACGACTTGTGGAAACGTTGCTTGCAGGTCTGACGTTCAGCGATCCGCGTGTTCTATGAGGAGAAGGTGGCAATTTTTCTGAATTTTCGTCTTAACCATCATGAGTCTGGCTACGTTTGCATCATACATATCCGTCAGGGCATCAAGACAGAACAAAAAATGCATCGGGAGAGATTGCATCGGGTCGGATGGATCAGATTCAAGCATCCACCTCGCGAACCTTGTATTCAAACATTCCATTCGACGGTATCCTGTTCTTGTCGAGCATCTTCATGGAAGTTTCAACACCAGCCGCGGGTACTTTGTACTCGAACTTCTTGCCCGGTCCCGGTTTCGAGCCATCCGGCAGCGCATAGGGATACGGGAGGTATTCTGGCATGAGGCCCAACTGGATCAGTAGTGAAGCTTGGTCCCAGGCTATATGCTCATGATACAGGCGATCGCCGCGCACGCAGACAACGGATGTGCATGGGAGCTCAACTTTTCGTCCTGTTGGAGGAATGCCCGGGGCTCTAAGCGACAACAAGTGAGTGTTTCAGGAAGCGAGTCTGGATGGGAGGGGGGCACCATTCTTACAGCCAGTCGATTTCCATATCGTGCGTGAACTTGGCAACGAACTCGTCACAGACACGATCAATGCCAATCGTTCGACTCACAAGCAGGAGCTCCATGTCTTTAGGATTTTTGGGGATGAAATGATTGCGGTAAAAGTTCGTTAAGCTCGCTCTGCCGATGCCGCCCGTCATCTGCGTCCCCCAATCAGCAGTTACACGCATAAGATAGCAACTCACGGGACGTATCTTACCGTAGTAATATGATTGACATAGGGCTCTTGCACCATAGTTGCCATCGTTTTGGACACAGAGCGCTCTGCAAATTCAAAATATGTGTGCTCTTCCCAGATCGCTTCCAGGTCGAAATCCAAGCCACGGATATACTTCTTCAGGAAGGTGAGATTTCGAGTATGCGCAACGGCTTCGTTGGTGCTGTCGAACTCCGGCAGGCCTGGTATGACGAACTTTGACGACTTAGCCGAGGGATAGGTGTATATTTTGGCATCTGGATGGGACTCTGCCTTTTCGTGTCCCGCGAAGTGACAGAGCAGGGGTATTGCGACGGGGGTAACCAAGTCTCCCGCCGTGCCGTAGATCACAGCCGCCTTCATCGTGGGGCCAATCGCTGCACTGCGACCGAGTTCATTCCAGATGGAAGTGTCGTAGACTTGAAGGCCACTTTTAGTCCCTCGAGGCAACGACAAATCATGGCGGAAGCGAAGGACGGGAAGAGGGAGGGGGGAAGGGGGAGGGAGGGGGAGAAGGGAAGAACACACCGACCATCCCAACCCCCTCGTTGAAATCGCACTTCTCACACCCTTCGAGCGCAGTAAGGGCCTTTGCCAGAATTTGAGTCGTCGTCGCGGTGGTTGAGCCCCCAGTGAATGTGTCACCTCGAATCTCCACGACCGCAAATCCCTCTTCCGCCCATTTCAGCAGGGGAGGCGGGATGCCATTCTCGCAAACGACGCCGCCGTCGGTGTAGCTCGGCGTGTCCGCTGGCAATACGATGACCAAACCCGGCCCATGGCCCTTTCGAGACAGTGGCGGTAAAAGCGAGATGTGATTGCTGACTTTGACCAGTTCGGCGGTTGGGAGGGAGACTTGCTCAGCTGCGGTGGCGACTGGTTCAGCCATGACGACTAAGTTTATTATCCTACCTGGAGATGCGAGAAATGGAGTGTCAAATATGCACAGTGTGTCTTTCCCGGGCTCGGACTGACTGAGAATCTCCTAAAATAATAGATACTCGGCCGCACAAGGATGGAGTTTATTGAAGCTGATGAGCCGGTCGGTGGGTGGGTAGATTGATGGTGGATGGGTGCGCGGACCGCAGCTCAGGCGCTCAGCCTCACTCGGCATTTCGTCTGGGCAAAAATAGTTCGATCATACGATGAATTCCAAAGGTCCTAGTACACTTCTGTCGAGCATTTGTAGTGGTTTGTACGAAATCATTAAGACTACCTGCTTATATAGAGTGAGCGCGGCGAGCTTCCTCAACCTCCTGATCTCCCTCTTCGGCATCTTGCCCAGCCGTCCGACCCCAAAGCTATTCCATATGTTACATATTGCACTTTCTGCATTCCCCCACCGGTTTTGACAAATCCGGCATGCCGTACTCCGTGAGAGGCCTTACCTGCGCCTTGTCCTAAGCCCGCCAGCAACAGCATCCATGTAGTCCCCCGAATTCAGTTCCACGACCGCAAGCCGCTGCAAGAATTTCGGACATTTCTCAGGCGTCCACCATATCCGCCGTCCTTCTGTTCCTATATGGACGTAGGGATCAGCTATCTAGAAAGTGGACAAAGGGTTCCTAGAGGTAAGGAAAGATGTTCTGAGGCGGACATAGCCGTGAGCATGGTCCTAGAAGTCCTTTGTGGGGATGAATAATGGAGCAAGAGCGAAAAGAATGTTCAAAGTTTAGTAACACGCTCTAGGAGAACGTAGATGTCACATACAAGCATCTGATAATTTGGAGACGGGAGGAGATTGTTGTATGTACCAGCAACGAAGGATACTGGCAAAGAGAAAACGCTATTGAAGCTTCGGTTGACCTTCCCATTGCCGACACGAGCCAGAAGAGAGTCAAGACTAATCCCAATATAGCTAGAGTTAGTCTTATCGATAACCAGAAAAATTATTGCCAGCCTCCGCAGCAATTTTCGTTGAAATGTGACATTTTACAAATCAATTCACTGGTTGGAGTTTACCAAACCCCAGCAGCATGTCCAACCCATTGGATCCCCAATTGGGGGAGTCAAAGAAACGCAAGAGGGTGCGGGTGAAGCCCACACAAGCAGGACCCGAACCGCAATCTGGGTCGTCTGTCTCGAACGACCGAGTCCTCGCATCCACGAACGAGCCGCAAGAGAAGAGCAAGAAGAGACGGAAGACGTCCCATTTGAGCCAAGATGAAGATAATGACGAGGGCCAGGGGTCAAGGAAAGTTGTGAAAGATGGTGCGGAAAAAGCAGGGGAAGAGTCGTCGGACAGTGAGGTGGACAGCGAAGTTGACGGCAATGACGAAGCCGGCCCTGAACTCGAAGAAACAGTTGATACAACGACAGGGATCACAGAGATCACTTCTGCCCCGCCGGATCTGCCTACGGACGCGACGCCTTCACTGCCTGGGACTGAAACCACCCCTCAAGCCTTCTCCGAACTCGCTCTGTCCGAAAAGACCATGAGGGCCATCACAGAAATGGGCTTCACCACTATGACCGAGATCCAAAGACGAGGCATCCCCCCGCTGATGGCAGGTCGTGACGTTTTGGGCGCCGCAAAAACTGGTTCAGGAAAGACACTCGCCTTCCTCATCCCGGCTGTGGAAATGTTGCACGCTCTACGATTTAAACCACGCAACGGTACTGGCGTAATCGTCGTCTCTCCCACACGAGAACTGGCGCTGCAGATCTTTGGCGTGGCTCGGGACCTTATGCAATTCCATAGCCAAACTTTCGGCATCGTGATCGGAGGCGCAAATCGCAGCGCCGAAGCCGACAAGCTCAGCAAGGGCGTCAATTTACTTATTGCCACGCCGGGCCGGTTGCTGGACCACCTACAAAACACCAAGGGCTTTGTCTACAAAAACGTCAAGGCCCTTGTCATCGACGAAGCGGACCGTATCCTCGAAGTCGGCTTTGAAGACGAAATGCGCCAAATCGTGAAGATCCTCCCGGACCGCGACCACCGCCAGACCATGCTCTTCAGCGCCACGCAGACAACCAAAGTCGAAGATCTAGCCCGCATCTCCCTCCGCCCCGGACCCTTATACATCAACGTAGACCACAAAAAGGAGCACAGCACGGTCGAAGGCCTCGAGCAAGGCTACGTGATCTGCGACTCGGACAAACGCTTCCTGCTCCTCTTCAGCTTCCTCAAGCGCAACTTGAAGAAGAAAGTCATCGTCTTCATGAGCAGTTGCAACTGCGTCAAGTACCACTCGGAACTGCTGAACTACATCGACCTCCCCGTGCTCGAGCTGCACGGAAACCTCAAGCAGCAGAAACGAACTAACACCTTTTTTGAATTCTGCAACGCCACCCACGGCACGCTGATCTGCACGGACGTCGCCGCGAGGGGCCTCGACATCCCAGCCGTCGACTGGATCGTGCAGTTCGACCCGCCGGACGACCCGAGGGACTACATCCACCGGGTGGGCCGCACAGCCCGCGGCGCCAACGGCAAAGGGAGGAGTCTGATGTTCCTTCAGCCGAACGAGGTCGGCTTCTTGAGCCAGTTGAAAGAAGCTCGCGTGCCTGTGGTCGAGTTCGACTTCCCGGCCAAGAAGCTGGTCAACATCCAGAGCCAGCTCGAGAAGCTGATCGGGCAGAACTATTACTTGAACAAGGTGAGTTTGAGTTTAGAGGGAGTCTGTACTTTTTGTCGTCGAACGGGCGCCTATCCCAGCCATCTCCCTTCTTCCGCTTGGTTTTGCTCAATCAATACACTCCCTTCCCCTTTGGTTTTCCCGCCCCTGTTCCATATCAAGGAAACAGTCGTTATCCAGCTCCGAACTGAAACTGACCTACCTCAACTAAACTAGTCCGCCAAAGACGGTTACCGCTCATACCTGCAAGCCTACGCCTCGCACAGCCTGCGCTCCATCTTCGACGTCAACAAACTCGACCTGGTCAAAGTCGCAAAGAGCTTTGGCTTTGCAACCCCTCCCCGGGTCGATATTCAGCTGGGTGCGAGCATGCGGGATAAGAAGCAGAGCAGTGCTAGGAGGAGTTATGGGAGTCAGCCGAAGCAGAAAAATGGGTTTAAGAAGAGATACAACGTCAAAGGTTGACTACTTGAGGTGATTTCAATTATGCCTTCACGGAACTGTTTGGAGCTAATGGAGTTGGCAAAGCATGTTAGTTTCGCTTGTTCTAGCTCACAATACTAGTTGATCATTTATTCATTCTCTGTGCTCGCCCTAGATTTCCTTTGCTGTTGCCTCATCGCTGAATCTCTAGTTCTCGGACCTCTCTTTTCCTTGATCTGTCACTCTCGCACCTCACGAGGTCACCGTACTCGAAAGCTTCTGAAAGCCCGGCATTCCCCTACCTGTAACAGGATCCCCGCCAGGAATCGCATCTCAACTGGCATTCACAATCTTCGGCGTTGGCTGGCCCGTGTACATGTCCCGGCTTGAACACCCCCGAGACCGTCCTAGAGTGATGTCGTTGAATGCCTGGTAGCCGTCGGAATACAATCAAGGGTTTAAGGAGCCAAGGTTTCCCTTCTCCTACGCCAAACGCTTGTTGTTCAAATTTGATATGATGGCAGCAAAGGTTGGCGCTGCGCAAGACGTTCCGTACAAGAACTGCAAACGATCCTGGTTCTCAATCAAGTAGCGCACAGATCGAGCGGAGACGTCCGGGTAGCCACGACCAGAGGTGTTTAAAATACCCTTTATTGTTGTTGCCCAACTTAGCAAGGTAGGCCTTCCAAGGCCTTCGTAGTGTTGACCTGATAAGGGGACTGCCACGAAGTAATTGGAAAACCCTCCCGACGAAATAGCAGCAGCGATTTCTGGATCCAGAGCGTAGGTGCCTCCTACGGCGGCCACCTAGGGGCACATGGCCGGAAAGTTCGGTGTAAAGTGTGCCGTTTTCTTGTCGTCGTTGGATTGACACGCACTGCCAACACCGAGGTCGCCTGACGCGAATATCAGACACGCCCCACAAACCGAGAAAGGAGAATGCAATGCTCACTTCCCTCGCCCCGTCGAAAGGTACGGTCTGCTGAACTTAGGGCTCCGAAGGTGTGACGGAATGTGTATAAGTATCGAGATAAGCAAGGACACCGGAGTTTGAGAGCAATGAAGCTTCCATTCATATCAATTTCCGAGGATAAAGTGAAGGAACATGTACCATGCACAACGGGATTCGTCACAACGGGAATAGCGACCATCCTGACACCAAGCGCTGATGAGACGACAGGAAGAAGATTGAAGCAACAAGTGAAGTCCATGTAATCCGGCGATTCACTTGTACTAAACGTTAATTCTGAACCGAGGAGAGAGAAAGAAACTGACCCTACCATCAACGGTTTGTCTACTTACGATCCGACCTGGAAGATGTACTTGCCTCTTCTCTCCAAACAAGGCTGGCAGATTGAATGGTATAGAACATTAAGCGAAGAGCAGGTGTTCAAGGGTGATATGATATTTTCTTGCATCCATACTCCGTTGAAATCATCTCTTAGCTGAACAAAAGGCCAAAAGTCCAAAAGGCCAGGAATGTCTATCGTCTCATATCCGCTCCCAGTTGTAACTCGTGCTCAAGGTCATTGGAGGTAAAGGCACCAGCCTCTTGCGGTCTTGGATCCTCATGGCTGCTCCATTGACTTGGATTCTCGGGAATTGGTACGTTCATGTTGGCAGCTGGAGTCTGAGATGGCTGGTGGCGAACGTGGTGACGGAATCTCATGACTTCGTCTAGGATCATCTTTCGCATCTCTTGCACATCCTCAACAACCTCAAACGCAAAGTCAAAGGTCTTGGGACAAGCAGGCTCGTCACTAGCGTCGTGCCAAATGTGAAGGTATCGGTGCTCCAAAGCATCCTCCACCGAGATACGGGACGATGGATCGAATGCCAGCATTCGGTCCAGAAGGTCGAGAGCGTCAGGGTTTGCTTGTGGGAACAGTCTCTGGAAAGGGATCTTGGGCATGTATGGCAGGTTTCGGACATACTCCTGAGCACGGGGTGATCCGATTCTGGACAGGGTCTCCTCGTTAGGGGTGCCCAGGTAGTGCAAGATCTGGTTCAGCTGGTCGACGTAGTCCCGGCCTTTGAAGAAGGGTCTTCCACCGAGCAATTCTGCCAAGATACATCCAACAGACCACACATCGACTATTGCCCGTGTTAGCAGAACATCCAGTGTCCACGAAGTGTCAACATACTAGCTTTGGTGTAGCTCTGGAAGCTTAGCATAATCTCTGGAGCACGGTACCATCGAGTTGCAACGTATTCGGTCATATATCCCGCATTCTCCTCGGGATCCTGAGAGAAGCCTCTGGCGAGACCGAAGTCGCAAATCTTGAGCTCGCAATCGGCATTGACGAGAAGATTGCCGGGTTTCAAGTCTCTGTGCAACACATTTGCCGAATGAATGTATTTGAGACCGCACAGAATTTGGTAGATGAAGGATTGAAAGTGAGCATCAGTGAGCGGCTGACCAGATCTAATGATCGCAGCAAGATCACACTCCATCAATTCTGGTGCTCGTCAACCATTGTCTCCTCCAATAAGCAGTCAACATACCTTCATAGAGATACGTCTCGTTGAAATTGTCCGGTCGGGGAATATCCATGTCATAAAGACAGGTGATCTGTGTCTAGTCAGCCCAGAGGCCTTTCCCCAATTGATCGTAACGACTGACATTTCGATGGCCCCGGAAGTGCTGCAGAAGCTTGATTTCGCGCAAGGCTCGCTTTGCAAGAATCTTCTTGCTGAAGACATTGGTGACTTTCTTGATGGCCACCCCTTCTCCGGTTTGCGAGTTGGTCGCAGCACTTTCAGCCGAGTCAGCGAGGCTCCCACTCCAGCTGAGCTATTCCTACCAGACTATACCATATGCACCCTGGCCCAACTCTTTTGTCACAGTATATCTCTCATCGACAATGAAGTCTTGATTGAAGACCTTGAACACTTTGCGTCCAGCTAGGTCCCCCATGTTGCTGTTGCTCTTACTATTGTTGATTGATCTGATTGAGAGACAGTAGGATCGGACAGCAGGATCGGACAGCGAAGTGATTGCGGCGCAGAAGGTCAGAAGAGCAGTTCAGGTGTAATAAAGGAGAGGCGGGCCAAGAAGGAGGTCAAGGAGACAAGGCAGACTTTTGGTCTTCGATTCTTGTGCGGCTGAATGATAGAGTTGAGCGATGCTGACGCTCTTGAGTGCAACTGCGCACTTGCTCCCTTTGGATTGCGGCGAACGTGTCCAGTCGGAGTCTCAGGTGGGGGCCGATTCAGGTGTAGCGCGAAGATATTTGTGTAAGACCTAGCCAGTCAAAAGACCGGGATACAGGGATATGATCAAAGCGGGAGATTTGACTGAAATTGAGAATCAAGATAATATTCATTTGCTAACCGCTGAGGTGGATTGGAACAGCTTGGACTGTGATGAAAGTGCTCTGGGTCCCTTGTTTGAAGCAGCCGCGCGCTGTGTTTCAACGGCGGGATGGGGAAAGCGAGGGGAGGGCACTGGAGGGGCAGCCATCACCATTGCCTGTGCGGGTGGGCTGAGCGCTGAGCGCTAGTGACTGTTTGCCCGCTGGTGCCCGCCGAGCCAACCAAAGTCTGCCGGCCTAGCTAGCAGGAAAAGGACACGAGCGCCAAGCATGCCGCCATGGCACCGCACGTGCCGGCGCTAGTCGAAGCCTTACCAAGGCGACTCCCTGGTGTGAAAAAGTGTGGCTTGAGCTATGTGCTATCATCTAAAGTGATGGTCTGTTCTTGGTTCAAGCAAGCAGATCACGGGCCCCCGTGGTTAATGCAGAGGGTTTTCAGGCCTTAAAAAAATTAAGTCACCGCTGTCAGTCACGAGGGGCAGCTGGACCGCGGAGAAGAATTCTCCGTCATGCCAAATTAAAACGTTAGGTGAAGTCAATTCATGCAAGCATCAGACAGCCTGATCGCAAAATGGAAGAACTACTTGCGAAACACCGCAAGGAACAGCGAGACCTCCAGGCCAAGGTCACGCAGAAAAAGAAGAACGCGACCAAGAAGACCAGAAAGGGGGTGAACGACGAATGTGAGAGACTCGAGCGAGAACTGGCAGAGAGGCAGCAGGCGGAGATCCAGGAGCTCGAACCTGGAGATCCGGATCAACTATTACAAGGCGCGGTGGAGGATCTCAGCATCGTTGACCATCCCGTGGGAGAAGTCAACGTCGGGCCAGAGCCTGAGCCAGAGCGAGTGAAACTAGGCGACTTCGCAGAACCAACGCCCACGCCCACACCCACGCCCACGCCCGCGCCCGCAGACCAGTCGCGACCTCGAAAACCAAACCGCCAAAAGGCAAGACTGGCTCGTCGAGCAGCGGAGCAAGAGGCACAGGCTGCGGCCGCAGCTCTTGAGGCCGAGAACCTCCCCGACCTCCGCGAGCAAGAACTCTCCCGCATGAAGCAGCATATGAGCAAGCTGGGTCTCTCGGAAACTCTCATCCGGCCCGACGGCCACTGTCTCTTCTCCGCCTGCGCACACAGCATGCCTCCCGACCTCCTTGCAGCAAAATCTGATGACGCCAAAAAGGAGCCATATCAGAAGGTCAGATACGCCGCGGCGGAGTTTATGGCTCAACACCCCGAAGATTTTGGGGCGTTTATGGAGGAGCCGTTGGACGCGTACGTGAAAAAGATCAGAGACACGGCCGAATGGGGCGGCGAGTTGGAGTTGCAGGCCATTGCGCGGTCGTACCATGTGGACATCAACGTGCTTCAAGCAGATGGTCGGGTGGAAAGGATCTCTACTGGATTAGATACTCCGCAAGACGGCTCAAACGACACCATCTGGCTTGCATATTATCGACACAGCTTTGGGCTCGGTGAGCATTACAATGCGTTGAAGAAAGTGGACCAAAGCTGAGCAACTACCTCATTTCCACACCGAATAATGACCTGTTGACACACAGACGAGTTTTGATAATAATCTGTTAAAGCCCAGGAGATTTTCCCGCCAGAGCCAACAGAATGACGAAAAAGATCCAACATCTCAACGATGGCGCCAAACCGAGATATAATCCTCTACATTCCCATCCTTGTCCTTGCCCACGTTGTGCGTGTTGGCTGGATGCCAGTGCCCTACCCTCTCCAACGCACCTGGGCTGGATGGAGCAAGCGGATTCATTTTAACATTGCCTTCCTCATCGTACGGAATGTCTTCTCCCGGATGGCTTAAGTGTTCCATGTATGTCTTTGGAGCAACGCCATAAGGGGGGCCGCCTGACTTGACAGGCTTGGTAACCGGGAACTCAAGACAGACAAGATTAGCCTGAGGGGAGCGGCGGAGGAGCTCGGTCATGCGTTTCGCCCAGGCAGGACGCATTTCCGGGCGCATAGCGCAGAAGAACTGGAAAGGCCGGTGTGAGTATGTGATCTTGCATCGAGGAAGGACGGCGTGGGAACACAAAGATCAACAGCCTAGAGGATGAGATCTGCTCTGGGTTGGAGGACAGAGGCCAGCGAAACGAGAACAGACTAAGGAAAGTCACTCACAGTATAGTCGTAAATTAAATCGAACTTGCCATCCCACTCACTACCAGCACCAAGCTCTGTCCTCATCTTTTCCACCCACTCGTCATTGTAAAAGTCGCCCTGAAGAAACTTCATTTCTCCTTTGCCAACACTCTCATCGTAGACAGGATACTTGTCGGCGTTCTCGGCCGCATACTTTTCGCAGGCCTCGAGCGCCTTTTCAGCGTACTCCAATCCAACAACATCATATCCAAAACTTGAGAGCACCAAAACATCCACACCACGGCCGCAGCCGGGCACTAATGCGCGCTTCCGATGCTTCTGCCCATCTGCGGACGAGGCGAGAAGGGCATTGCCAATGACATCGGCGTGGTTGATCAATGTGTCGGCGAGGGCTGGGGATGGCGATCCACGGTCCCAGGGTAAGAAGTCTCCTTTGTTCCACAGCTCGGCCCAGCCTTCGGTGTAGGCGCTGCCTTGGTATTTGGCCATGTGGCCCTTGAGCTTCTCGCGAGCTTCAGCAGTGCCGGTTGTCGATGCCATGATTGCGGTTGGTACGATTAGCCCAGGTAAAGTAGCCGAACAGGCTGGCCTGAAGTAAGCTTCAAATCGGTTAACGGTAAGAAGCGGAACGGATGGTCGGCGGTGGATGGGAGATGGACGGTGGGCGAAGAGGATGTTTGGTTTTGGTCGAATTTGCCTGAAAGGGAATAAAGTGGATGGGAGGGGTTGATGGAAGATTCGACTCTGATGGCCAGGACGAGGACGGATGGCTGCCTTTGTCCGGAGGTGTCCCGATACGTCTGATCCCGAGATCAGACTTTGTGGTATGTTGGTTTTGTTTCTTATTGCAATATTAGCCAGCGACAGAATGTCACGATTGTGGTGAGGAGTAGGATGGGAGAACATCGGATCTGCTCAAACTCAACTGCTGCCGACCTCCGCACCTTCTGCAGAGTCCAGGCAGTAGTTCCCACTAACAATTTTTGTTTTTGTTCAGCCCATCATGGGCGCCAATCCCGAGGCTGACTGCAGCGACAAGTCGGAACTATACATGAAAATGGTTGTGGAAACCGGGCTTCTGAGCGTGTCCGCGAGTTGTGTCGATCCTGAAGAGGCGAAGGAACAGCTGTGAAACAAATAGTATCGCACAGGTAATCAACGTGGCTGAAATCACGAGACGAGGCTGGGCGTTTGTTTGTCAAGTTCACGTCTTTGGCATATTTTCTCACTTGTGGACTGTGTGGCCAATATAGGGAGCAGGGGGTAGGGAGGAGAGAGGAGGGAGGAGGGAGGAAGGAAGATTGGGTGTACAGCTTGTACTGGGACGAGCGCCGTAGAAAGTGCCTCGGCTATATGGCTCCGATAGCTACTGTAGCATGCAGCGTGCCATTGACAGGTCTTCTCGGTATTGACTTGCACATCGTACAACATGGCCCGATGATACAACACGGTGATGGTATTACCCGTTGCCTCCTGGACTGATTGCAGTTTGACTGTGGGCCAGAAGGAATCGAGCATTACAATAATGATATCCAAGCATTCGTCTACCTTTTGCCACATTGAGAAACTGACTGATACAACATCGCCATCTTCCTCTCTGCCAGACTCGATTCAAGGTAACGAGTAGCAATAACTCGATATGGTGGTCAGAACGATGCCCTCTTGGCCATGCGTGGCCATTGCATCTCGTCCGCCAAGCGTCGCCCAGGGAATGTTTCCGCTTTTGAAGGCAATCTGGACAAATCCTCATCCGCTGCCAACAGCTCTGGCTTCCCGGCAATAACGGCACGACAAACCACCATCTCCTCGATCTCTCCATCTATCTCGTACTATGGACCAGCAGCAACTGCCCCGGCTAGCAATTCACAACCCCACCATTTCTGTTCTTCATTGGCTGTCTCGGCCGCTGTGAATCCGTCTTTTGATGCTGGGCCAACGGTAACCTGCAAATGTTCTCGAGCAGCTATGCCCGCCATTTGCCGCTGCGGACGTCCATTTGAACTGCTGGCCACGCCCTTTGTACCTTATGTCCGTTCGAAACATGCCTTCGAGGATCTGCGACCTGAGAGACACAGCGCTGACCGTATCTTTAACCTGCCCGTCTCCAACATCAGTTTCTCCGTCCATTTCTTAGATTCTCTCTTTTGGTTCCATTGTTGGGGGTATCGATGTTTGAGTAATGACCTGGACAGCAGATCCTCGACCTTCCCTGTTCATTCCTGACCCATTCTCATCCTTCATCAGACCGCGCACATGGCTCACGATGGCCTCGAGAAACTTCCCCCCTCACCAGATACCCTATACGGCCCGCCCTCGGAGGAAAGCCTGACAAAAGAGAAAGAGCATGAAGGCACTCTTGAGAGCCGGTCCCTCCATTCTGATCACTCGGACCATTCGACCGTCGCCGCCCAGCAGGATGTCGAAATCGCCCAAGATGCATTGGCAAGGACTATAACTCCCAAACGTCCCATTGTCAAGGTTCCGCGGTCGGAGAGGCGTGGTCTGTTTGCCCGGATCTGTGTCATGGCCGAGGTCACAGAACCCACAGATTATAGTGATAGCGTAAAATGGTGCATCACTTTCATTGTGGCCATTGCTGCCGCCGCCGCCCCGGTGGGCAGTGCCATTATATTGCGTATGTTGGCGTCTGCCGTTGGTTTTATTGGAACCTGTCCAACGTGTTGACTCGATCAATTTTGTTTTTAGCAACCCTTAATGAAGTGGCTAGATCCCTTCACGCCGAGGCGACTATCACCAACTTATCGGTTGCGCTGTATATGTTGAGCATGGCTATTTTCCCCCTCTGGTGGTCCGCCTTTTCAGAAACGGCCGGGCGCCGCACCGTTTACATCACCTCATTTGCCTTGTTCATCTTGTTCTCTGTCTTGAGCGCCGTTTCTCATTCGATCTCCATGCTTATTGTTATGCGACTGTTCGCTGGAGGAGCCTCGGCATCCGTGCAAGCCGTTGGTGCGGGCACGATCGCCGACATCTGGGAATCACGGGAGAGGGGGAGAGCAATGGGAATCTTCTATCTAGGACCCCTTTGCGGCCCGTTACTGGCACCCATTGTGGGTGGTATTCTCGGCCAAGTTTGGGACTGGAGGGCGACCCAATGGGCTCTTGCAATATACGGAGGTAAGCTGCAACATCGCTTGCGTCAAGCCGATTGTTTCGTCGCTGAGAGAATGGGTCCTGATGCGAATTTCAGTTTTGACGTGGGTGTTGATCTTCTTCGGTCTGCCCGAGACCCTGAAGGCACCGAAGGACATGGCAGAGGAGGCCGCGGCGGACACGGCATCGTCCATCAACAACGGCAGTCATCGACCTCCATTGAGTCGCACTTCGACCAGAGAAGTGATACAGAACAAGTCGAAGAAGTACTTGAAGGTTGCACGGATGTTGTTGTTGGACCCACTGAGCGTCATCCTGTACCTCCGGTTCATGCCTGTCTTGCTGACAGTGTATTACTCGGCGGTTACTTTCGGCTCACTCTACGTACTCAACATCAGCATCCAGTATACTTTTGAAAGGAAGCCGTATGACTTTTCGACCCTCATCATCGGCTTGCTCTATCTGCCCAATTCGGTCGGGTATATTCTTGCCAGTGTACTTGGCGGTCGCTGGATGGATTATATCATGAGGCGCGAGGCGATCAAGGCAAACCGGGTGGATCAGAACGGAAAATTAATCTTTCGACCAGAAGACCGCATGCGCGAAAACGCGTGGCTGGGTGCATTAGTCTATCCTTGTGCGTTGATCTGGTACGGTTGGACCGTCGAGAGAGGCGTCCTGTGGGTAGCACCGGTAAGTCAACCTGAAACAGAAAGACATGGACAGTCCGGTATATGCAAGGTACCAAAGTTGACACGGCTGTGGCACAGATAATTGCGAATTTCTTTTACGGCCTGGGGTCCATGATCATCTTTGCCATGTCAACCACGATGCTGACCGAGTTCATGCCACGTCGATCTTCATCCGGTGTTGCTCTGAATAACTTTTGCCGGAACATTCTATCATGTGTTGGCGCCATTGTAGGAGCTCCCCTCATTGCGGCGATCGGCAATGGCTGGCTTTTTACCATCCTGGGCCTTTGGGCACTGTCCAGCGCCTCGGTGATCTGGGCCATGAAACGGTACGGCGAAAGCTGGCGAGAAAAGATGGATCGGCAGCTAAGATAAAAATAAACAACATGCGAACAAATGGATAGATACCTGATAGACCAAAAGACCGCGAAGGGAACTTGTCCCACTTGTCCCAACCTAGCACGTGACTCACATCCCTCCCCTCGTGACACCAGTCACATGTCATTCCTCTCCATCCCTGCGCCCCCCAGAACATCAAATAGAATGCGGAGGTTAGAAGTGAGGCAGCGACCCAACGACTCTGGTAAAGAGGGGGAAGCGAAAGAGGAGGAATACGGCGAAGTCCTCGAGATTGACAGCGGCACATCAAAGTCTGCGGCCCGTTCAACCCGTTGTTCACCGGCTCGACCCGTTCCAAAGTTCCCTCAGGGGCAAAATCTTCTCAGGTCTTTTCTTTTCGTTCTTTCATTGCTTTACCACGCGTATCCGACCACTTGAACTGTCGATGAGGCCATGATCATTGCCTCCCTGTCGGATCGCCAATGGCAGCAGTCCCTCGCCAGCTCTGCCCACGCCAACAGACGCACCAACAGAGCACTAACGCCCTCTTTTTCTCCGTTGCTCATCCCGTGGTAGGCAGGGATGCAGCATCTTGTGCCCGTCGTCAATGAACTCCTCCACGTTTCTCGGCGAACTGGCGTCGAGGGATCCAACACACTGCATAGCCCTCTAGCAAATCGAAACACATCGCCACTCACCAAAAGAGAGAGGACCCGAAGATAGAGGTGCTGGTGGTGCTTCCTTCTGGCCGCAGAATTTTCCCTTCTGGCTGACCAGTTGTGTTTGTTGGGCATCAGTCTAGGTACAACTTCCGCGCTCTACGCGATCCAATCGTGGCCCCTGGTTATGCACATTTCGTCCAATTACGGCCATTTGGGCTGGATTATGCCACTCACTGTTGCAGTTGTCTGACCTTGAGTCAGAGCTATGCTGCTTTGTATCATTTCCCACCCGCACGTCGCTGCATGATTTCTGCAGACCTCGCCCTCTCCAATGTGCGCCGGACCAGCATTTCATCGTTGACGTGGTCCAATTGCCGGACCATGCTGTTCCCAAACGGGATGCCATGGTCCCTTGTTCATCATTTGGCCGAGCCCATGCTTGGGCCATGCTGCACGGTGGGATGATTCATGCTTGGGCTTTGCAGGTCCCCTTCCGTTCAACCAGGTTTCACACCACCATGTGTCCTTCAGCCACTCCTTTTTCCCTATACACAATTTCTGTCACTTTACGAGGTTTTTGAGGGGTTTGCCCTACAATATTGCCGGCTACGTCGCGTCATCGTGCTTTCCGACCCCTCCGCACCGTTTCTGATCCTTGCACAAAGAGGCGGATTGGTAGCTCCGAGAATCTGGCCTGACAGCGGCGAGGTTCAACACCCCAGGCATCGGCCATGGGAAAGGCTAAAAAGAGAAAGAATAAGAAGACTACTGTCAACCCCTGGCTGGATGAACCCAGTGAACCCAAAGACATCGGCGATGGCTCTGCCATACGAGTCCCAGTTCCAGTACGCCAAACTTCCTGCTTATCAATGGCAAACGTTTGATCCAAGCGCCGTTACATACTCCCTACATCCTATCATTGCACCCGCCGAAATTGATCCAAGCAACCATGGTACTGACGACCAGTTGAAGAATGAGGAGGCAGCCACCGCATCTGACGACGTAGCAGAGCCTCCTGCCCCTCCGGCCGAAGATACTCCCAAAGAAAGCGACGGTAAGGTTCATACACAAAAAACATATAATTCCTGCTCTCACTGTCTTCTCTAGATATCGCTGCCATGGACGATACAACACCGCCAGCACACGCTGGCGCCGAAGAGGGGGTGATAGAAGGAGAATCTAGAGATACAGGTATTCGCGGCACAAGTATATCTAAACCTAGTTGCTCTAACCGATTCATGCCAGCAGAAGGAGCAGGCACTGACGCCTCCGCCGAGGGCCGAGAACTGAAGGACGATGATGTTGCAGCGGAAGATGCTGACGACGGGCCACCAGATGCTGCGGATTCTGGCCCAGAACCCGAGCAAGCAGAGCCAACGGATGAAGCTGTTGAGCAAGCCGCTGAAGACGATTCCAAGGGTCCAGACAAAGACACGGATCCTGAAGGCTCATCGGAAGTTACCGCCGTTCAATCAAGTGGAGGCGACAAATCTTCGGAGCCAGAAACAGTTGTGGAAGTAGTTGAGAAAATGCAAGAAGCTGATGCTCCCCTTGAGCAAATCACTGAAGTCCTAGAAAAGGCCATGTCCGACGTCGGAGCTAGTCCTGCTTCTCCGGAGTCAGCGGCCGATACTAACCAGCCATCCGAAGAAAGTGAAGAGGGCGCAGATGCATCTGCAGCAGATGAACGAGAAGAGGCACCTGACGCCGCTGCAGACCCAGCATCTCAAGAGGGCACCCCAACCGAAGACAACCCTTCAGATAATGTGGAAGAGCCTCCAGCTCAAGATCAAGACCAATCCAACGACGATTCCGCAGACGCAGAGCCGGCCGAAAAGCCAGAAGAACCAGCTGAGGCAAGCGAAGAACTAGCAGCCGACGAGGCTGTGATAGAAGGGGTGCCAGACGGCAACGAAGGTGACGCTGCCGCCGCAGATGCAGCAGATGATGCGCAGCCCGACCCTCCGGCTGCGGAAGAAAAAGAGGGTGGCTTGGACGAGGCCCCCGCGCCTGAGACTGCGGAGGCCGACGGGAACGGGGATAATGACGATACAGAGGAAAACACAGCCTCGGATGACCCCATTCCTGAAGAAAAGGTGGAAGAAAGTGCGGTTGAGGAGGTACCACAAGAATCCGGCGCCGAGGCACCTGCGGCTGGAGACGACTCCAGCCAAAATGAGGAAGCTGGTGCCGAAGAGACGCCTGAAGTAGAGGATCCTCCAGAGGACGTACCGGAAGAAGCATCTGCAGAAGAGACGCCTGAAGCAGAGGATCCTCCAGAGGACGTACCGGAAGTAACGTCTACAGAAGAAATACCCGCAGTAGAGGACCCTCTAGAGGTTGTGTCAACAGAAGAGCCTTCAGCAGAAGAACCATCTACAGAAGAGACCCCAGCGGAAGAGGATCCGGCACAGGAAGACCTAGCAGAGGAAGCACCTGCAGAAGAGGCCTCAACGGAAGAGGATCCCCCAGAGGAAACACCTGCGGAGAAGGCTGCGGCTGAAGACAACAAAGCGGAACAAACAACAGAAGTAGACCCTCCTGAAGACACGGCTATAGGCGAGGCTGAAGATACACCAATAGGCGATGCCGCCGAGGAGGTTTCTGCCGAAGAACCAGCATCGGAAGAGCCATCTGCTGAAGCTACGCCCGAAGAAGCAGCTGCTGAAAAGCCAGAGTCGACTGAAGAGCCGACACACGAAGAAGCCGACGCTGAAGAGCCGGTCGAAGAGGCCGGCGAGGAACTCGTTGGGGAGCCTGCTGACGAAGAGACCCCCGAACAACCTGCTACAGGAGAAGCCGCCGAGGAACCAGCAGACGAGCCAGTGGAAGGACCAGCGAAAGAAGCAGCTGAAGAGACTTCTATAGAGGCTGCCGAGGAAGCTGCTGAAGAACCCGCAGACGAACCAGCAGACGAACCAGTGGAAGAAACCGCCGAGGAAGCTTCTGGAGAGGCTGCTGATGAGCATGCTGATGAGGCTGCTGATGAGCATGCTGATGAGGCTGCTGATGAGCATGCTGATGAGCATGCTGATGAGCATGATGATGAGCATGCTGATGAGCATGATGATGCAGGAGAACCTGCTGAGGAAGAACCTGCTGAGGAAGAACCTGCTGAGGAAGAACCTGCTGAGGAAGAACCCGCTGCGGAAGAGGCCGCCGAAAACCCTACCGAGGAGCCAGTCGCCGATGCAGTCCTCGAAGAGGAAGCAAAAGAAGCTGCAGAAAAAGCTGCAGAAGAGCCAGCTGAAGAAGCTGCAGAAAAAGCTGCAGAAGAGCCAGCTGAAGAAGCTGCAGAAAAAGCTGCAGAAGAGCCGGCCTCCGAAGAAGTTGTGGCAGAAGTAGCCACAGAAGAACCCGCGGAAGAACCTACGGAAGGACCAGCAGAAGAGGCAGTCGAAGACCCTGTAGCGGAAGTTGATGAGGAGCCCCAAGCAACAGTAGAAGAAGCAGCAACAGACGACGCCGCGCCAGCCGATGATCCAGCGCCGGTTAAAGAAGAACCTCCTGCGGATGAACCAGCCGAACCGAATGATGAGACAGCTGCAGTGGAGGAACCTGGCCCTGAAGAAGAAGAGGCGGCTTCCGGAGAAAAAGAAGCACCAGCACCCGAAGAATTAGCAATTCCGATCGCTGCCGCTGCCGCAGTCGTCGGCGCTGCGGGCGGTCTTGCGGTGTCAGAAGCATCCAAAGGTCTAAAGGAAAGACGAAGGAAGTACCATGAGAAACGGGGACGCAGCTCGAAAGATCAATTCCACGGGCATAGAGGGAAGCTTGAGAGGAGCAGGGGTGAAGCAGGGCTATTCGACAGCGCATTCGCGAGACAGATTAAAAAGCAGTCCAGAGACAAAGAGCATGGCCGACACGAATCGTCGCCCGAAGAAAAGGAGCGTGAAAGAGCGGAGAGGAGAGCCAGGAGGGCCCGACGCGAAAGTGAGGAACCTGTCGCCAGAGATGGTCAAAGCCGTCATCAGGCAGAGGTAAACACCACCAAAGAGGAGAGGCACCGTAGGCGCCACGAAAAAGAGAGGCGAAGGGCGGATATCGAAGAGGCAGAGCGCTCCGCGAAAAGGAAAGGCAAGGGAAAGGAGAAATCGCTAGAATCATCTCGAGATGCTACAACCGAGAGCAGCAGTGAGCCCAGAAACAGAACGAGGCGGCCTAGCAGTGCAGGTACCCATGGTGGTGGTGGCTCCTCTGTGGTACCGATTCCTGACATCCTCAAGAGGATGGCGACAGGAGAGAGCGATACCAAACCCCTCCTCATGATCAAGGTGAATGATGACGACCCTCCGAAGGACAGATCAAGAGATAGAACCAGAAGCCGTCATCACGAAGGCCGCGACCATAGGCACCACAGGTCTCGGGGAGAGGCTTCAGACCGAGAGCGAGACAGCAGGGATGAGGATGCAGAAGACCGACTCAAGCCATCGAGGCATTCGAGTTCGAGACGGGATCGGCAGTACCATACCGAGCTTCGAACAGCTCCAAGGTTCGGAATCTTGGGCAGGGCAATCCACACGCTGGTGGAGCACACGACTGTTCGAGAGATTTGGCGTGGAGAGCGGGTGGGTGCCTGATACGGCGTCCCGAAGATGTTCATCACCACAAGGCTGAGAGCAGAATGGGCTTGACTGGGATACACTTTGTCGACAGCACATGCAGGGGTGGAGGAAAATGGAGGATCCAGAGCGCTCGCTTGAGGAGGATCTCGTATGTTCTGGGCGGCGGATTGGTCTCACGGCCAATTCTTTGTATTACTAGTGTGTCAATTGTGTTAGGAGGATCAATGTACGGTGATGGTAGTTAGTGAATGTCCTGAATGACCAAATTATCTTGAAAAGACGGGCGCTGAATTTCCGGACGGCCAACTTCGCGGTCGTCGTCGCTCTTTCGGGGAGCGACCGGCGCCTCCGTCAGCTTTTCGTAGTTCAAGCACGCTCCTCGAACTCAACGGAGAAGTCCTGATGGCCTCGATGACCTGCCGGAAAATCCCAAGCTCGAGGGTTCACGGCAAGTAGTTTTGCTCGTTTCATGTATATGGCCCCTCATCTATGGACGTGTCCTGTCCAGTCCTGCACGTCATGGAGGGGCAGACGGCATACTCGCATGCTGCAACGGTTAAGTAATTTATTTACTCCGGCAAAAAGAAGCCCCCCCAAGGACTCTGGGAGCCATTGACTCAAGCCAGCGTGTCGAGCATATTTATCTTTCTTCTTGCCTTTCGTTTGATGCTGATCTCCCCCAATTGCACCCCTGCAGGACCCTCAGCCATCGACCTCGTGGCTCACTCCCTAAGCTACCACTCTTGCCTTGCCGTCTCTGTTTTCCTTGTAGCCTCAGGTCGTTTACGACGATGGTCTCCACAGGCAAAGACATGAAGGCGGAAGCCGTCTTCCCTGGTAACACTCCCATGTTGATGAAATTCCCGAGCAGAAGGAGCGTCGTCCACAGCACAAAAGGCATGGTCGCATGCACACAACCTTTGGCCGCAGAGGCGGGGCAAAGGATCTTAAAGATGGGAGGGAATGCCGCTGTAAGCGAACATGCACTTGAAGATTCAATGACCGTGGCATGACTGACAAGACGACCAGGATGCTGCTGTCGCAGTTGGTATGTCGAGAACCTTGATTGCCCTCTCCAGATTTGCCCTGATACTCTACCAGCCGCTGCGTTAAACATGACTGAGCCCACCTCGACCGGTATCGGCGGAGATATGTTCTGTCTCTTCTTCGATGCGAAGACAAAGAAGGTCCATGCTCTCAATGGGTCGGGACGCAGTGCAAAGAATACTACTCTCGAACAAGTAAGGCAAGAGTTGGGCATGGCCCCGTCACAGATTGGCAAAATTCCCGTCCTCAGTGCACTGTCCGTCACGGTTCCCGGCGCACCTGGAGGATGGGTCGATGCCATTGAGAAATTTGGGAGCGGAAAGTTGAGCTTGGAGCAGATCCTGATGCCGGCAATCGAACTGGGAGAAAACGGGTTTCCGGTCAGCGAGCTTTCTGCAATGTGGGTGAGTGCTGTCTGAACTCTTGCGTCCTGACTGTTGGGTATCAATGCTAAGACACCCCCAGTGGCATGAAGGTGAAAAAGACCTCAGGCACGCTTCGCCCAATTTCCGCGAAATGCTTAAAAGAGACAAGCACTCCGAAGATTTTGTCCGGGCACCCCGGGCTGGTGAGATTATGAAAAATCCAAACTTGGCAAAGACCTTCAGGGCATTGGCAGCAGAGGGGAAGAAAGGATTTTACAGTGGAAGGATCGCTCAGGCCATTGTCGACGTCCTGAAGCTTCGAGGTGGGCATATGGAACTGTCGGACCTTGAAGACCATATGAACCGAGGCGCCCAGGAGACAGAGCCTATCTCGTTGAGATTCAACGCCCAGAATGTGAAGAAGATGGGAGCCCAAAGAGTGACGAATGGGTCGCCAGATGATCACTTTGTCGAACTGTGGGAGCATCCGCCGAACGGGCAGGGCATAGTTGCCCTCATGGCTCTCGGCATCTTGGAAGAGCTTGAGCGGATGAGGCAAATCCCAACGTTTGCCCAGGAAGATCACAACAGTGCCGCACACCTCCATGCCGTGATCGAGGCACTTCGGATAGCATTTGCTGACGCGAACTGGTGGGTAACGGATCCAGACTTCATGCCGGTCAAGCCTGCAGACATGATCTCACGACCTTATCTGGCGGAACGGGCCAAGCTTTTCAACAAGGACAAGGCCGGTGTGTACAGCAAAGGACAGCCGGGACCGAGTCCGGCTCAGAATCATAGCGACACGGTATATTTCGCCGTTGCTGACAAGGAGGGCAATGGCATGAGCTTCATCAACTCCAACTACGAAGGGTTCGGATCTTCCATTATCCCTCAGGGCTGCGGATTTACGCTCCAAAACCGAGGGTCGAATTTCGAGCTGGGACCACCAGACCATCCCAATATCTACCAGGGTGCGAAGAGGCCTTACCACACGATTATCCCGGGGATGATTACCCATGGGGAAGAAGGGGAGCGAGAACTGCACTCGGTATATGGGGTGATGGGCGGTTTCATGCAGCCGCAGGGTCACGTTCAAGTGCTACTCAACATGGAAGTCTTTGGCATGAACCCGCAACAAGCCTTGGACGCCCCAAGAATATGCATTGGTGCGGGAATGCCTCAAGAAGGCGATCTGCATGCTGGGACTGTGTATGTGGAAGAAGGGATCGAGGACGCCGTGATCAAGGTGCTGAAGCAGATGGGGCATGATGTTGAGGTTCTGCATGGATTCAGCCGAGCGAGGTTTGGGCGCGGACAGATTATTCGGAGACACGTCGATGAAGAGACCGGCCTGGTGGTGTACAGTGGCGGAAGTGACATGCGAGGCGATGGGTGTGCTTTGCCAGGATAAAAGATGATAGCTATTTAGCAGTATGGGCAAGCAAGGCTACTCACCTTTTCCCTCCCATCGATGGTTGCTCTTCAGCCAGCCACACGCTCAGCCTTGGGGGCTTGCCGAGAGGCTACGCGGGGGATCGGTGACGATCTTACATTTTAGTAGTTGGCTGCCGAGGGCGGCTTGAGCCTCGTGCCCAACGTGCATGAGAGGGATGAAAAGTTTCCGAATACGAGTCCCTGGTTTACATTGATTTTGAGAGGGTCAGAGGTTGAATAGGTGGCTGTTGTCGCAGATGAAAGGTGCAGTGTGTAATCATAATCCCTCGTACATGGTTCGGCCGTCCGGGAAGTTTGCTATATCGCCGATTGAAAATGCTGCTCGTGAATGAACGACATTGACCTGCCTCAAGAGGTTAATGCACCCAGCGGTTGAGTGACATTCGATGGGGACGATGATCTGCTGTAGCGGGGGACAGAGAGGGGGGGCAGGGGGGGGGATAAGCTTTTCTCGAAGCATAAAATCAGCAGTGGATGGCTATGTAGTAGGGGCTTGAACTAGCTAAGGCTTTAACTAACTTGTGGCTACTAGGCTGATGGTTAATGGCTGTAGGTACCTGCCTACCTAGAGTTCCGCTAAGGGGTTGCCACGGCTGGTGTTTGCCGCTATCAGTCCCTCCCTGGTCTGCGTTGCTTCTGTTGCTCGCACCTCACTCCTCCCTGCCCACTGGTCATCTTCCATATCCCTTCGCATCTTGTCGCCACATTGGCCCTGAATCCCTCATCTCCGGGGCCCTTCCTTCATTGAACAGACGATTCGTCTCACAGCGTTTGCGCAACCAACCTAGCTTCCCTACGTACTTTTGTCAGGCGGACCAAATCTTTGCTGCGCCGAATCAGCTGCAGACCAATGCTTGCGTACTGGGGCATTCTCGAAGCTCTAGTGGAGAAGATCCGGCTCGGTAGGTTACATGCCTGTAGCAGGGACTCGTTATCAGCTTATACGCAGGCACACGAGCACCCTCCGAACGAATCATCAAGGGCGGTAGACCAATCCTGAGAGATCGTCTCTAACCGTCTCCTTCCTACTTCCTACTTCCTCGCCGCCCTCCCATGTACCTTGCCTCCCTCGCGTCATTGACTGGCTCTTTGCCGCTTTGCTCTGCATAGCGCTTCTCGATCAGCGTTGCAATGTCTCTTCCCACACGCTTTCCTGCGGGAATGGCACAATCTGACTTCGGCTTTGGCCGTCGCCTGGCTACTCGGGAAGCTGCATGATCTTGTTATCGTTCAATCACCATTCTGTACCACCCTGGGTGACATGGATGCTACCACGAGGTGGAGACAAACACCTAGAATCATCAGGCAAAGCTTTCATCATGGTGCACCAGCAAGCGAGAAATGCCCCAGCTTGGAGGGGAACGCTTGACGGACCTTGAGATTTCCTTTTATTTGTGTTCTTCCCTCTTCGAGTGCTGTTGCGCAGCTTCCGGTGCGACTTTCACTCTATACATCTGTTGCGAATCATGAAGTTCTCCATCCTTGCTTTGGCCTTGGGCCTGATTTCCTTGTCTTCAGCACGCAGAAGCCCTCAGCATGTGGGCAAGAAGCTCCCACAGCTCAAGAGAGCCGCGGCGCCTCAAGCACATCCTGCGGTGCCGCAGCTCGAGAAGCGAGCGCCGCATAAATTCTTGAACAATGCGACCAAAAGTGTGTTTCGTCAACTCTATTGGGAGGGCGTGGCTGACCCAGTTCCAGGATATGCCGTCAATGGCAGCGCCATTCCCGACGTGGATTTCGACGTGGGCGAATCCTACGCCGGTCTGTTACCCATCTCCAGCGAAAAGAATGCTTCGGAGCTCTACTTTTGGTTCTTTCCTTCGTCGAACCCAAATGCGACCAATGAGATCCTCATTTGGCTGAATGGGGGTCCCGGGTGCAGCTCTTTGGAAGGCTTTCTGCAAGGTGAGGAGAATTGCGATCCAGAGCCTTAGGCCACTTCCTAACAGGTTTTGGTAGAAAATGGACCTTTCCTTTGGCAATACGGCACGTTCAAGCCAGTCCGAAACCAATGGTCGTGGACAAATCTGACAAACGTTGTTTGGGTTGAGCGTGAGCTTCACTAATGACGATTGACGTTGGGTTGGTGAGCTAACTTTGATACAGAACCGGTTGGCACTGGCTTCAGTCAGGGCACCCCAACGG